ATCCTTAATGTAGGTCTATCACATAAATAAAAGGATTGATTTATGAGTTTATGTACTGAAATTCAAACGACAAAGAGATGGCCAAACTTATAAAAAAAAAAGATGTTGGTGCAGTCTAAATGACACGACTAAAAAGTTGATGTCTTCTCCCAAGTGTAGGAGTGTCGAAGTAATAAATAACCCGGCAAGACCGGGGTCGAACCACAGGGAGGTTATTTGTACAAATTATAAATAACAAGAATACAACAACAATAACAATAACAATAACAACAACAACAACAATAATAATAATAATAATAATAATACTAATAATAATAATAATAATAATAATACTAATAATAATAATAATAATAATAATAAAGAAGAAGAAGAAGAAGAAGATGAGAACTTTGAGATGGAATATGAATGTAATGATTAAACAATTATAATAACAAATGTCAAGGTTAGAGGTTCCACTAATGGTATATCAAACAAGTATAGTATAAACTCTTATTATTGAATTGGAAACCACACACAAAGGAGGTTCCAATCAGATTATATATTGTTAACATGATTACATTAGTCATCTTATTCAATTAATGCTAATACTTGTAAATCTCGTCAAGCATTCATGATTATAACTTATGTTAACAACAAATCAAGTTCCTTTCATAGCTCAGGTGTCGGTTATACCATACATTATGGGCTATGAAAGTGCCAAGCATTTGTTGTACCAAGTGTTATACAACATAAATCAAGATTAGTCATTTAACAAGCAAAGTATTAAAGAGTGAACAAGATAACAAATATAAAACATGTAGTATCAAACATTAAAGTCCATATTAAGTTTACATTATACTTATTCTTATACCATTAGTGTAACCTTTTCACCTTGACATAACTAACTTAGCTAGACATAATGAAAGAAAGCAAAATAGATAAACAAAATAAGAACATAAAAGTTAACTAAGTAAAAGAAAGGAAATGAAAGGCATGAACTTAATATTAATGAAAGCAAAGCATAAACATTACAAAAAATACAAAGAGAGAAAGGAAGAGCATGATCTTGATCTGGAAATCAAGATGCCTAAATGCATGGCAAATGCCTCCTTTTATAGGCCAAAATTGGGAACTATTGATTTGATGACTAATTGATAAGTGGGTGGCCAACTTTTGACTTGGTGACAATCCTTATCTTCTCTTGTCTGCCCAAAACATCATTTATAACGTCAAAATTGGAGCCAGTTGTAAACATGAAAGTTGTAGGCAATTGTCTCAGCTTTCTTGTGTAAAACATTCAGCTCATGTGGACTTCTAGAACTCCAGATATGGCCAAAATACCGAACAGTGCTCGGGCTAGAAGACAGATTCGGGCTTCTTTGTTGTTGCTACAATTTGGACTTGATAATGGCCTTTTTAGATCTTGGGCTCCATATGAACGTTGTAGGCCTATGTCTTACCTTTCCATCCATATAAATTAGACCTAAATCTGAGATTTGTAGCTCCAGATATGACCTAATTACCGAACAGTGTTCCAGTTTGGATTGCACCGACATCTCTTCTCTAAGTTTGACCATCTCTTTATCCATGCAATTTAAGTTCTTCATGTCATTAATCAATCCTTTCATTTATGTGATAGACCTGCATTAAAAATAGACATTTACCACAAATTAAAGGTATCTTATATTATTAGATATATTATTATAAAACATGCTTTGGTTAAGGAGTTATTGATACTTCAAGTGCAAAATGATGATATAAAACCATGATAAAAATGCATTTTTAAGTACTAATCACTAAACTAAAATACTGTTTGGTAATTCGGTCATATCTGGAGTTGTAAATCTTAAATTTAGGTCTACATTATATGAATGGAAATGTAAGACATAGACTTACACCTTTCATGTAGAGTCTAAGATTTAAAAAGACTGTTTTCAAGTTCAAATTGTAGCAATAACGAAAAAGTCCGAAT